GGTTTTGGATTTCAAGGAACCACTTATCGAAAAAAGATACCTACGTATATAAGTATGAGAACACCATATATGCGTTTTTAATACATTATTATAGAAATCTTTGTCTATTTTTTAAACACTGCCCTTGCACAGGATTATTTTTTTTCTAGATAATTAAGGCCGAGTTTTCTGTAAAAGCAAAGTAAAAAAGTCATGTTAGTTGAGAGTTTTATGGAAAAAATTTTATGATAATAAAACACTTTCAACACTTCATAATTCAATTAAAAAAAACTTCTTTTCCATTTGGAAATTGATCGTTTTGCACCATTATCCAAATCAATAACACCACAAACAAAGGTAACTAGATAAAATATACAAACTGAATTTATAATCGTGCGGATGCACAGAAGCAAAGCCTTTGTAATATTTTATTTCGACAAAAACCCATTTACCGATTTGCTTTTTTGCTATGTGAGCTTATTTTTAAACGATTTTCTAAAATGTCGAGTTCAAAATGTTGCAAAAAAGTGCCGGTTTTATAAGTATATGTTCCACATAGGCTGAAAATGCTATAGGTAAGTAAGAACTTCTCCCATCACTAATCAAAACAGAAAGATTTTGAAAAATGATCCCATGCTTCATATAAACTTTTGAATCGAAACATGCAAAAAATGCCATTGACAATTTGACAATATATATAGTGTGTCGCACTGTATATATTTTGCTGGGAGTTAGAGATATCGGAAAAAATTTTTTGAATAAGTTATTCTAACTTCGTACACCTTTTAAATGTGTAATGTGTAATTGCGTTAAACTCCCCAGAAAATTATCTGCTACTACAAGAAAAATCACCAAACAATCGGATTTTAAGTGAATGGCATTTTAGTTCGCAGACCACTGAATAGAATTCAATGTAATAAACTGACATTACCCATTTCACAAGTGTCAAATCATTACTTTCCATGGCACACTGTTTTATCGAATAAAAAAAAGTGTGTAGTTATTGCAAAATAATTGGACCAAATAAGTGTTAAAATAGCATTATTCACCATTACATTCTATATTAAGATATTCACTACAAGTCTGAGATAGAATGGGAGGAAATTTAAATTAATAATTAATACATTCTTGCATTTTTTCTTTACCGTGTACAATTAATTTTTAACAAGCATTTGCTTCAACCGATAATGTTATTCACACACGACACAATCTACACATTACAATAAAACGCTTCCTAAACCATATTTTTTAAAATACGAAACCAATACTTTACAAATTTGATGAATTAAGAAGCCTGTAAAATATTCAACTTAATGAAAAAAAAATTAGTTATATACTCTCTTATATTTTTACATCTACCTACCTAAGATCTAGTTCCCCTTATAGGTACATACACATATACAACCGAGGCTGACATTTCACTTCATACGAATATTAGTATTCCTATCGTTACTTCTGTTTGTAACGTGTGTTCGGAATTTTTACATGCTCGGAAAAATAAGATCAAAAACAATTTTTATCCTTTGAATGTTATTCGATGACACCCCACGTTTCAAAATTGTTTCGTCCTGGATGTCGGCGAGATCAATAAATATGTTTTTTGGAAAAAAAAAATCTATCAAGAGGAAAACAAAAAGAAAAGTATTTCTGGTATAAGATTATACCGTGAAAAAGCGAAAGCCCGATGAATTGACTATAGTATCGATGGAAAGGCCTTGATTTCAACCCTTTCGCCCTCCCCGTCGGGCGAGAACCCTCGTGATATTTGCTCACAACACAAAAACATCTTGTAACTCCACGGATTAAACTGAAGTAGTGTCGATTCTTGAGAAACGCCACCAAATAAACCGAACAAAAATCATTAAAATGACGCCCCAAGATATAATAAATTCTTGGGCAACTTGAATGCTCTATTGTGACAAATAACGTGATGTTTAACGCATCGCCGGATCGCAATGGCAATTGTAATTGTATTTATTGGACTGTGTGTAAATTAGTAAATAATTGTAGACCTAACTACAGGCTACAGTTCGCGCTTCAATACGAACTTAGATGAATGTCAAACGCTCTGCGGACTCCTACTGGGAGTTACTTACACTTGGAGTATTACTCCAGCCCTCGTCGACGGCGTTTTGTAACGTTCCTGTTAGGAAACATGTTCCAATCGACACCTATGAGCATTTTGTTCTTTGTTTTCTGTTTGATACGCCCTGAGCGACATTTTTTTTTATCGTGGTCCGTTCGCATGCGTCCTGCCGAATATTCACTAAAGAACCATTGAACATACGAAATTCGATAAAAGGAGAATCGTAATCATCACATATTTATATAGGGTGTTTCCTTTTCGGAATACAGGATGATGAAATTTAGAGACTGCTTTTAAATGTATGTACCTTATCTTATTTTTTATATTTTTTATTTATTTTATATATATTTTATTATATTCTTCTTGCACCAAGTTTTTTCCTGAAATTTTCTACAAATATAATAAAAATATCCTAATATTGTCTGCTGAATCTATTATTCTTAAAGTAAAGGTACATCTTTTCTATTGAAGAAGCATTGTAGAAGTTCCCACAGTCACTAAGGTTACACGTACATTGCTCCTGCTCTTGCAAATTAATATCTCCGAATATTGTGGGTCTTAGACCATCATCCACCACAACTTTTAATATAGAAATTTTTTATAAGCAATACAAAAGTTGTCCATGTTTTGCCGAAATTGCAAAATTACTGCTTCGCAATTCGTCGGTGACCATCCACGATCCAAATGAGTCGAGTACCGAACCTGGAAATAGCAACGTTGAGTTTGCCAAAACGTCGGCTTTCGCTACATTTCTTTGAATTGAATATCATTGTTGGCAAGTTGTTTCTTCCTTATAATGTAAATTAATTTATTAAATATTTCACTTTTCTCTCGCACCTTTGTACCTAGTATACTCGTTTTCGTGCGATAAATAAAGTAGAATTGTAATAATACAAATATATTTCTTGTAATAGTGTAAGACTTATCCTGGCAAATAGAATTTTCTTGCAACTGCAACAAATATATTTTAGGCGAGATACAAATAAAAAAAAATCTCCGAATTCGATATTTAATTGCTCGATACGAATTAAATTGTTTAATTTGAACAAATGGGGTTTATTCTCAGGAACTAAGGAAACCAGGTCAAAATTGGATGCATCAATTACGGAACACCCCGCTAATCATCCGAAATTTTTAATTCCAGTTGGAATAGCAATTATTCTAGTGGCAAAAGTAAACTAAGCTCGAGTAATATATGATGTGCTCAAACTAAAAATTTTCACAGTCCAGTGGCTAGTATGACATAGATTATCCCAAAAGTTCCAAAAGTTTCCTTTTTATTACCTTCTTAAGAAACAATATGAGAAATTGTTCCAAATCCTGGAAGAATTAAAACGTAAACTTCTGGATGACCAAAGAATCAAAATAGGTGTTGGTATAAAATTGTATTGTATTAAAAGTATTAATATCTCGATCAGTTAATAGTATAGTAATAGCTCCTGCTAGGATAGGTAAGGAAAGAAGTAATAATAGAGCAGTAATACCGACAGTTCAAGTAAAAAGAAAGATTTGATCTGTAAGTATATTATGAGGTCGTATATTAATAATTGTGGAAATAGAATTAGTGAAGACTGAAAATTGCTAAGTCAGCTGATCTACCTCTATGAGCAATATAGGAGGAGGTTAAGGCTGGAGGAAGAAGTCAGAAACTTATATTATTTATTCGAGGAAAAGCTGTGTCAGGAACTCCTAGTATAATTAAAACAAATGAATTACCAAATCCTCCAATTGTAATAGGTATAACTATAAAAAAATATATAATAAGTCCATGAGCTGTAATTATTACATTAAAAATTTGATCCTCTCCAATTAAAGATCTTCTTTGGTGCGTTTCGTCTCTATATTCAAACTTTTGAATTATTATTGTTATATATTATATATATTATTATTATATTATAATATTATTATATTTTTATCAATCGATAGCTTATATTATTTCTTAAAAGGTTATTTGCCAGATCACCACGTAATCGACAAGACAAGACAAAGAATAATAGTTCTTTGGCTTTTCCTACGCCTAAGTTGTAGAACATATTTTACATGTTTCGAAAAAAATCTCGAAAGGTTAATGAATGTGAAATCTGTCGAACACAAAATTGTCACCCTAAGCTTCAAGCTTTGACTGGATTAACTACACGACAATACGTACTTAGGAGTTTAAACCCACAATATTTGTACCACCCGCGTGGTTGAACAGCACTCGCTCTACATTCCCAGCAGACGATTTGAATTGTTATTTATAAATTGCTTCCGTTATATGCTAATAGGCTTTCATTGATAAAAATGTCACATATTTTCATTTTCAAACGGGAAAAGTACTAAAAACAAAAACGTCGAAGCTTAAAAATCGCATCTATCAAGTTTGGGGTTCACACCAAAAATATACGTCAATTGCGAATTTAAGAGAAAGCTTGTAACGATTTTGTGTTGTAATATTCGCCGTCGCTTTCATTACGGTCATCTTACCCAAACTTTTATGTGAAACTACGCCATCCAAAGTGAGATTAAATATATTTAATTTAAATTCCTACTTACCTTATATTACGCATTCTGTAAACTTCACTTGACGGCGTAAAGAGAAGGATTAGAAATTTAAGATCGGTATGAATGAAATAAATCGAAATAATGACTTACTATATCGCATATATTATTTTTTTTTTTAATATTTACAGATATATTTGTTACAATATTCACATTTACACTGTGATTTCCAATTATATTTACATTTTAACCAGCTTGACAATACCGTACAGAATGAAAAGCAATTAAAAATATTCTATTCGGAAATACCATAATACCCTGTTTAACAAATCGAACGTTCCGTGTCAAATATCGTCGAACAACTTTCGTTTGCTCTGCAGCAAACACATTTAAAAAAATTATATACCTCTATATGCGAGCATAAAATTACGCGTGACATATTAAAGTTCTCCACTTACGAGTCAGCACTGTCTTTCGTCGGACCCGAACTCGGTCCGGCCGGTCTAGCTTGCAGCAACGCTTGATAATAATTTACAATAGGAAAAATAGGCCACTGTTTTCGCTCATTTTGGTCTTGTTGGTCACTATTTACAACGTCTATGTCTTCTTCGGTGGTTTCGTCACCAGAATCCGGTGCTAGAAGCGACGCCACGTCAAACTGACGTTTTCTGGACCCTCTCACGTTCGGAACCGTCGGATAAACAGCCGTCGACGGACCGGGAACCACCGGTGGACTTACGGAAAGAGGTGGTGGACTTGGAGAGTCAACTCCGTCTTCATCTACAGCCAACCCCATGTGTTTTCTCACTTTCCTCTGAGCTTTGCGCCGTCTGAAGTCACCTTTTCTAAAATCTTCTACGTTCGCGGGATGAATGGCCCAGTAATGGCCTTTCCCGTTGGCGCTACGCCCAGCTTTTATAAAACAATCGTTCAGAGATAAGTTGTGTCGTATGGAGTTCCTCCACCCTGGTCCTCTAGTTCTGAAGTACGGATAGTGGTCCAAAATATGCTGATATATATCCGATAAAACTAATTTCCCTTCCGGTGAGCTCAGAATCGCCATGGCGATTAGCCCAATGTAGCTGTGCTGTGGTTTCGGCTCCTCGGGCTGCAGAGCTCTTGGAAATAGAGGGTAGCACGTTAAAGGCGACGGGAATGGATTCAGCAATGGATAACGCAACCGCTCAGCGACGGCATACTGATATAATTGCAACCTGTACTGATCTATAGGTAGCAAAGCTCTTGGAGCATTGGTTTCTAAAGGAAATGGTATCGGCAGCCTTGGTGATGGATTCGATGGGCTTTCGTTGCTGCACATTTTATTGGAACAACTACACAACTACACACTGTCACTGTCACCTTGAACTTTAATTCAGAACAAACTGGCTATGGGTTATTTATCAGTTTGTTTGTGAATTTAAAACAGACGCCGTATCATTAATCATCTCTCAGTGAAGGTAAGCTATACTGTACTACTAAGAACCCATCTGGGTATCTAAACATATAACAAACAGGGACTATTTGTCGACCAATATTTGATAACAGTCTAGAGGCGGGAATTGTCGCCGCCAATGGAAATTTCGCTCTCCCTTCCGGCACCGTCGCAAACCACGCCTCGCCATGTTGTTAAACTTGGCTCGTCTCCACAACTGCCTCCTTTCTAGTCCCTTAAAAAAGGAAGGATAACTGCTTCTCACAAAATCTTTACTATTTGTAGGTGTGCATCTGTAAATCCGAATTTGCATTTCTATTGTCGTATGTATGTCGTATTTATTTTATATTTATTTTATGCTGCTCGAAGGACCGTGAAGAATTTATAGTGATTAAATTATATGTGGAGGTTTTTCGCGCATGGATGGGAAGCGTTTGAGATAATTTTTCGACTTCAAAAAAGATACTGCTCTCTTTTGCCACTCACCTTCCTGTTTAATTTGCAGCCAGATTTTTTTGGACGAATCCAATAAATCTAAAAATTTCCATAAACATTTCAGGGCGAAAAATATCGAGATCACTGTTGACAAAGTTATTCGAAACATGACGAAATAAGTAAAAACCGCCCCTTCTAAAACACGGCTTCCAGTTTTTCTGGTTGTATTCACCTAATTCATCAAGCTGTTTCCTACCGCCCCTTTGCATGTTGTTGGTTCGCTTTCTGTGTGCACAGGGTCGAAGTTTTTCAAATCCCGAACGTCACCCAGTTTATTGTTATTAATATTATAGGGTTCGGCAGTTGTATAAAAACGCGATGTCTGCCATTAAACACTGTATATAGGCGGGCACAAAGGGTTAAATAAATTTTTAACCCTCCCGTATCCTATTTGTGCGCCGTTTGCTTTTGTCGGGTTTTGATAGACCGATTTTATTGTGCCAATGCGAATAGGTGAGCTCCGATCACCGATAAACTCATTTGATATCTCACAAAATGATACAATAAAAAGTGAGGGAATTTCCATAACCCTCAGATGCATGATTTTTTATTTTATATTTATTTATGACAATTTTCATTTTGTTCTGTCTTCAATTGCAGACCAGTATCCTATTTCATCCGGTCTATCCTCTATGTCGCTTACTTGTAGATCATCCAATTTGGCATAAAAATACGAAAATCAGCTTGCGATGTTTTTGCTTTTGTTGAAGTTTTTTATATAAAAAGCAAGCGGCCACAACTCGTAAGTCCAATAAATATGGATAATGAATTTCAACATTCAATTGATTTTCATTTACGACCAAAGATTTTGCATTCCAGATAACCGATATTTTTTTTTGGTTGCTCTCCTTGTTTATTAGGAGGATGTGTCAGAATTTTTTCTTTGTCCTTGTCGCTCTTTCGTTTTTTATTTTTGTATTTTTTTTTTATTTTCATTTAAATTACTTAAAAGTACGCAATAATCCGCCCCACGATAATATAAGTGAAAAATATATTATTGGTAATACGAAAATGGAAAACCACTTCAATGTTAAATGAACGAATCAAAAACAATTTCGTCAGCAATGAAGACAAATTAGCAGTCTCATTGAAAACTATAAAAGTGGAATGAAATAAAATTAGCCATTTTCGCCGTATTCCAGGGAAAAACCGGCCATCCACTCCAGTTAATTTAGGCGCATTACAACATTTTCAATCGCGGTTTCCGTACGAACGCTCTATAGATCGATGTAAACGTATAACTCTGTTCAGTTGTTCGCTCTGAATGCTGCTCTTTCAACCACACAGACCTAGCCCGTTCCATTGTCACTTGAATTTGCATTATTTGATTTAATGGACTTGACCATTTGTGCTCTTGTTTTCGTCCCTTTTTTAACTTTTTCTATTCGCCCTTCTGCGGGGTATTCGATGCCGCATCTTGCGAAAAATATTGCTTCTTCATTCTTCAAACCAATCGTGTCCTGAAATTTACGAAAAAAGAAGAGCATTGCATTTTTGGTCGGTAATTTCTGGTTAGTACTTTCCTGTCGGTCCGTTTTTGGGGTGAAATAATACCCCCCCGGCCGATGACGATCAGTTTTGACGTGTTTTCGGGCAATCGTTCGTGCGTAGTATCACGGACTGACAATATGTTTTGGAACACAATTCTTGCCATTGATATTCGGCTAAATCCGTGACCGGAATATTACTTCCCTATGGCTTTGTACACATTCGGCGATATATTGGTAGACGGAGGATCCAATCAAGAAATTCTCAAAATCATTCTCTTAGCATCGTAATAAATGGTGAATTTATTCATAGAAATAATCCGCTTCTTTCTTCCATTTTCCGTTAATATGATACACGATGTCTAAGTTGCTTTGTATTGCAAAATACCCAAAGTGTGCACTAAATTGCTTTCAAAAATATAATTTTCGTATACATTTATTTATATAGTTTAACAGTAATAATAATAATAAATGGTTTTTATAAGCCAAAAAAATAAATAAATATACAATGAAATAGAAAAACGCAGAAATAAAAATGAAAAAATAATACCAGAAGAAAAAAATAGAAATAAAGGAAAAATTTACCAAGCACTCATCATCAAGGGTAATAATTATTTCAAGGTAAACTACAACTATATTACCTAAAAAAAATCTAGTGAGGAAAACAAAGCGTGATGATATATTGACATATTACATTATAGTAAGGAACTACACATAGTATATCTAGAGTGAACCCTAATTAGTTTGTTGCCTTAGTGTTATTTTCAAGGTACTGTATAATTTATAAAAAAATAATCCATGTATGTATGTATTAAATAAATAATATCAAAATAAATAACGACCAAAAGTTCAGATTTTCACAAAATTATATATTTTGACATGACAATTGTTTCGACAACACCGCGTCTTTATCAAATGTAATATGTACAAATTACCTGCTACTATATTTACCGAAAAATGCAAAAAAAAACCTTAATTAATGTTGTTGTGAGAATTTAAGTTTAATAATGGAAAGGTATTTAAATCTAATTGATCGTTAATGAATACGTTTGGCTTCCAATAAATTTAATTTTCTACTTTTTGTGGCTGTATGTAATATATGAAAATTGTAGTTAAAAATGTGTTTTTCTGTGTTTAAGTGTGTGTAGATCCTTCAAAAAACGTATTAAAGAACATAAAAGAGCGTTTAAAAACAATAGTCTAGATTCTAATTATGCTACACACTTAAACACGGAAAAGCACTTGACGACAATTTTGATATTTTACATACAGCCAGAAAAAGTAGAAAATTAAATTTATTGGAAGCCATGGAGATTAACAAAATGACACATTTAAATCTATTGGTTAACGATCAATTAGATTTAAATACCTCTGCTTTATTGAACTTAAATTTTCGCAATAACATTATGAAGGTTTTATGGTCATTTTTCGGTATATATAATACCAGGTAGTTTGTAAATATTACATTTGATAAAGACACGGTGTTGTCGAAACAAAGGGTTTATTTAAATGTGTGTATTATTTTTGTATTTATCTCCATTTATATGTGTTTGTAAAATTTGAAATGTCGTTGTAATATAATTTTTGGGCAATTCAAGCAAGGTATTGAGTACACAATATTCAATTATGTGAATTAATTAAATTTTAATCAAAATATTCAAAAATACCTAACCTTAAAAAGCAAAACTCCAATTATTCATCGAAGTCAATATATATATATATATATATATATATATATATATATATATATATATATATATATATATATATATATATATATATATATATATATATATATATACATATATATATATATATATATATATATATATATATATATATATATATATATATATATATACACACATATATATATAAGGTATGTAATTTTTTAAAGAAACTTCGCAGGAGGAATCCAGAAGTTTTGTAAATAACTAAGGTATGTAAATATTTTTATATTGTATAATGATGACGTATATAATTTAATACTAATATTGTATGCATTTTAGATTCATATTGTGACAGGAACGTTGAATAAAACATAAAAATTTAAAGAATTTTGATATTAATAAACAACCTAAACCCAAGAACCAATTAGAACCATATACTTCTTAGCTGGTGACCTTTCCTTAGCTCTTGATAAACATTACAAATTAGGACCAAGCAGTAAATACTTCCGTCGTGAACATGTGGCCATTCCAATCTAAAAAAATGAATGTTGAAGAAGTAGTTACGTAAACCCACGAAACTTACCTATTATCAAAATGGGCGTATTGTAATTTGGTACCTATAGTACCCTTGGTTACACTATACCCCTTTCTTTACATTCCAACGTCCTCATAATTTTTCTATGGACTTTTTCTTTAAAGAAGTATTTTTCCTGCGACTCGTACCTTCTATACTAAACCCGATCGTATTTAAAATATCGTCGAGATTGGAACCGAACCAACTAAAAATAAACAGAGTGAGTTCATTTAATGGATATCTCAAACATAATTTTAATATTCATAAAGCATATTCTTGTTTACGATGGCAAAGCGGCTCAAAGACTGTTTTGCACAAAACAAAGCCTTACGACGTCAAAGACGCTACATCGAGGTTACATTAATTTAGCTTTGCCGGGGAAAACCATTAAGGGATTATTTTTTGCCTGTTTTGCAATAACTTCAGAATAACTTGGCGGTTATTTGAGTACAAAATCGATTCTTGAAAGATATTAATATTCCCGGCAGCGTTATGACCAAAGCAGAGGGTTTATTCCCAAATTTTAAATCCCCCAAAGTTGAAAAAATTTTTTAAACCTTAAGCCGATTAAGAGTGGTGAATGCGGATGAGATTTTTTCCCTTTTTCGTCCGTAGTTATTTGCACACCAAGTTTTAGCATTAAGCAAATCTACTGCTAGC